GTGCGGACGCACTTTAATACACGTTGTTAACTGTTATATGTTCGATGGCTGTTATACGCGTGTGGCAATTGTGTTGTGAACTGTCATATTTGTGCAGAAATTCCCATAACTGTTATATGCATCAAACGCACAAGCCCAGCAATTGTTACAAACGACAACTGTTATACACAGCAGCAGCAACTTATACCTACAACTGTAATACACTTCTAACAGTGGCTGTTAAGCACGCCTGGCAACTGCACTGGGCATCAACTGTTATACACAACTATGCTCAACCATTATGCACGAGAACAGCTACAAATATCTACCACGATTGTTATAGGGCGCTTTTATTGCCTGTTATACAGCAGCTCGTGAGTAACTGTTATACACAACAATTGTTATACATTTCAGCTGTTTCACTTAGCAATCGTTATACGCCCAAGCAGATGAATGCAGTAGCCCAGATGGTGTTATAAACAGTAACTGTTATACATGGCAACACATCAATAACGAAAACAAGAACAACAGCAGCAGCAGCAGCAGCAACGCATTCCCACAACTGTTATACAACGCATTCCACAAACGCAAACATTCCATCGTGCATTGCATTGGCGATACGAAAAAGAAAAAGCCCAAAAACGACAAATCAACGAAGCTGACGACGAACAGAAAACGAAGCGAACAGCGTTGCCACCTGGCGGTAACCAGCGGCAGCGCAGCGACGGCAGTTGCCAAAACTGTCCGACTGTAGTAGTAGAAGTAGCTCTTTCGCGCGAAAGAGAGAAGCAGAAGAAAGTAAAAAGAAAAAGAGTAGGCCAGTCAGAATGAGCTAGAGTTAGAGAGAAAGAGAGAGATATTGTTAACAAAGTTATAAGCAAAATGTTACGAAACTTGCCACATAAACTGTGCAGCTAATCCAACTGTTATACAGCTTGTATAACAGCAAAATCAACTGTAAAAACAACTAACGCACCGCGGTATAACATATGTATAACAGTTATGCTCAATTATAACAACTGTTGCACAGCGTTAGTTAACAGAAAAAATTCTGTTCAAATAATTCAATCTATTTTTTGTTGTATCTATTTACTAAACTTATATCTCCGTATACTTAGAGTATAACCAATCTAAACCAAGGTTAAGTGCCTGTAAAAAAAAAACAGATGTTGCAATATTTACAAATTGTATTAAACGATATAAATCTAGCAGCTAAGATTACAGGGTATATTTGCATTAAATTAACAGTTCCCAACATAAATCTAATGAACAAAACGTAAAGTTAAGCAATTTTTTTTCTGTCGCTCTATGGCGAAACTGTAAGAAAAAGAGAAAGAGAGAGAGAGAGAGAAAGAGATGACAAATCGAATAACGAATACGAATAGAAACGAGATGGAGAAAACCTAGTGCCATGGCCCACCCAAGCGAGAAAGAGACAGACAACAAAAGCTGTTATAAAAAAAAATAATAATGACAAGTCTGTGTGTTAGGATGGGAAATTCAAAAGAAAAAAAAATCTGACAACATAAAAGACAAAAAGAAAATTATTTTTTTATATACATACATGCATATACACACGTACACATATATATTCCATGTTAGTGCTTAAATCTAATTTATTATATATAGAATGAAAATATTAACAAAACTTTATACCCTCCTATTAACAAATACGACTACGAACTAAACAATAATGTTGCGCTAGCCAATGGAAAGAAATTTACATATATATACTACTTACCATATATATATATATATATATATAGATCGATCGAGCAACCGAAAGTCTAACTTATACTCGTATACTAATATGTTTAACTGTACTACGTATGTGAATATTTGTATTTGCAATTGCTCAAAATGGCGGCATTAGTTCGTAAGTAGCACAGTGCTAACTGTTATACAAACACACGTTTATGACAATTACTTATGCTGTTAAAGAACAAAAGAACAAAAACAAGAGAAAACTGTTATACAACGCTGTATTGTACTTTATATAACTAGGCATAAATTACACAAAAACAAATATGAAACGCTTACAATTAATTGCTATAATGCGAACACGCCCCTCAGCCCTCCAATAACTGATTTACATACATATAAATATATAATTGCATATATGCTTAGCTGTTATACTAACTGTTATGCTAGGCTAACAGACGTAGCTGTTATACTGACTTTTATGCTAGCCTAACAGCTGGCATAACAGCTGTTGGCTCTCTGTCAAACTATGTAAATGTGCGCCTCTCAATGTTTAAACTAACTCAACATATACATACACACATAATTATATAAATATACACACACACACACACACGAGCATAAAATACATTATAAATTTAGTAATATTACGCATAATATATAGCGTATATTTTTGTATGCAGTTGAAAATTATTATGTTTAAAAATACATTTGATTCCATCAAACCCTAATTGATATGTACTTTATTTGGCAATATATTGCTTTTGCATTTGTCAATTCTAACTCAAGGATTTGTTAATAGGATCAAAAGAGTTGAGCTTGAAAATGCTTTTCGTGGGACATGTTTCGTTTGCAAATCCGCCAATCTGAGTGAAAAATTAGTGGATCTCGTTTATTAGTTTCAGGCTTGGGCATTCGCTTTCTACACAAAAGCTAACATATATTTTTCTTCTTCCCGTCAATTTCACTCCAAACAGGCGAAAAACTCAAAAAACCATCGTTTTGTAATCCACGAAAACAGGTGGAAAATGGCTGTAAAAGTTTTGTAAAGTTAACGATTTATTCCTATATACATACGATTTATGATTTACACAATTTAAACATTTCTACAGCTACATATATTTGAGTTATTTTGTGTTTTTTTGTGATATTGTGAAATTCACCCGTAATACGGGTGAAAAGCCTATGTTAGACTTTATTGGGAAAACACTTGGCCCAGCCATTTCCGGATAATATCAGCTAATTATTATTAAATTGGTTGCATTTGCCGGAGCAGCTAGCTCTGCCTCCCAACTCCCTCGGCCGACGAAATGTGCCAGGCTGGGGTCCGGGGCCCCGTTCAGATTGTGTGTATCTGGTTTTTCCGCATGTTGCTTCCAGGAAGCTTCTCCGCAAACGATGTTGAATACACACAAAATAAAGGGCAATACGACAGGTTGTATCCATCGTGGAATTTGTCCCAGACCATGGTCGGAATATGGATCGATATGTACATAAATACATATGTATATGTTTGCGGCCGGGCCAACAGCCCAGGACAATTGGAGTACATGCACGCAGCAGTGGCAGGGGGCGTGGCATATTGAACAATTACACATATAGAGATATACATACATATATGCACACACATACATGCAAGCATACATACATGCGCAGTGGAGACGTTTCCTGGTCCCGAAATGGAACATAAAGTTTACATATTATGTAAATGTCAACTTGTATGCCAGCTACATTATGTACATACAATGTGCGTAACAGTGCTGTTGACTGTTAACAGCGTTGCAACGTTGCCAATCTTCAGGCTGCCGCTTAACAGCTGTTAAGTCAGCTGCTTTTACAATGGTCTCGCGCTAAACAGCTGCTATCGCTAATTAGTTTCATTTTTGCTTTTTTTTTTTTTTTGCTTTTTTTTTTTCTGCTGTTGCAATTGCCCCGGCATAACTGCTAAAGAAGTGCGTAACGCGAACATCATGCAAAACGTCATTGGGCACGATATGTGCGAAGCAGCTGCGCTGGCAACGAACGCAACCGCAATCATTTTCAGGCGCTGCCCGCTGCATTTGCTGCGAGCGCCACTGACGTGACGTAGCAGCGACGCCGGCTGCGGCAGCGACGACGCGCCGTTACGTATTCAAGGTCTACATTTGTGTATCGATACACGAACGTTTGTATGTACATACATACATACATATATATGTATGTGAATGTGCCACAATTTCGTGTGTATACGCCTGCCCATGTACATACTATATTTACATATGTATGTACACAGACACATGCACACACATATCTATATGCATGTAAGTTAGTGTGTGTGTGTGTGCGCGCGCGCATAGTATACACACAAGCAACGCTAGTGTACTGGAGCAATGGTCGCTGTTCTCTTTTCAACCCCCAACACGAACGCGCCCCTTTTGCACGACGTATCCATGGCATGCCCCGTCGTCACAGCGTCAGCGCCTTGCCTTGCGTTTTGCTTTTGCTTATGACGTGCTCGCACGTACGCGACGCACAACTGTTGTTGTGTGAGTGTGTGTATGTATCGCATCGTATATATGCATTTACATATATGTGTGTGTGTCTGTAGCGGTACAGTGGTAGCTCGCTATCGCAGATTAAAATCTATTGAACTGTTGCCTGCACAACATATAACGTATGCGATGTGGACAGTGGTTGCTAGTAAAGAGTTCGCACTGTACTACTGAATGCTTATGTGAGTTTGTGTGTGTGTGTGTGTATGCGCCAAAAGGCGCACGCATACATACGAGAGCGAGAGAGCGTGCGCGCATGAACTGAAAAATGTGTACAACAGCAAACGGCAAGCAGCCCAATTGCCAATTGGCCAGTCTATAAACGAGTTAGGAAATTGTAAATTAGTTGATGCTAATTAGGTTTGATATTAATTTTAAAAATATTTCAAATTGTTTGATATAAAAAATGTTTATATTTTAAATAGGAGAGAATATTTGAAGACCTCATCTAAGGCTTCAGTATTCTAAAATATTATCTTGATAATGTGTTAGCATATTTAATTAGATTACAAATACTGAAAACATTATGTCATGATATTACCATTATGTTTGTAATAAATAGTAAGTTCAGTATGTAACAACAAATTGTTTATCTTCTTCAAAATACAAACAACCCTGCTGCAGCTGCTAACTGCATTGCCCGTGCATGTTTGCTTGTGTGTGTAGAGTTGTGCGCATTTACCACTGGGTCGCCAGTGCTGCTGACTATTTGACGTGCCTGTTTTTTTTTTTTTTTTTTTTTTTTTGTCTTCTTCTTTCGTCTTTTTGTTTGGTTTTGCTTTACGCTGCTTTTGCTTTGCGCACCGCTCATTTTCATCATTCTGTAGCCGAACGTTGCCGCGTCAAGTTACGCTTACGCTAAATATTCTTCGGTATTGTTGCCCACACACAGCTACATATATATATTTAGCGTCGGTCGTGTACGTGTCTCTGCTGTCGCTTTGCTTGTATGTGTATGTGTGTATTGTGTGTCTGCCGTGCAGGCGACAGAGCACATACGTAAAGCGTGCGTGTATGTATAATAATACATGCACACATACATATGCAGTTGTGCGTGCTTGTGTGCGTGCCTTGTCGTGCGCCGCAGCGCAATAGAAAAATAATAAGCTAAACAATATAACTATTTTTTTTTGACAGTGTACGCAAAAAAAAAAAAAACAACATAAAGAATTGTTGTCTGCCTGTGTGTGTGTGTGAGTGTCTGTGCAGCAGCGAAAATCAATAACAAAGCGCAAGACGCTAACAAAACAGCAGATAAAAAAAAAAAAAAAACAAGTTTCGCAGACGGACATGGCTATAGCCTGTCAGCTTGTCGCGCTGAACAAGAATATATATTCGTTGTGCTTGAAACGAATTTTACAAAAATAAATTCATAATAATAAATAAAATGCCGCAGCAGCAGCAGCAGGCAGAGCCCAATGATAAAAACGACAACAAATTGCCGGTACAACAACAACAACAACAACCACAACAGCAACAACAGCAACAACCAGAAGAAGAAGCAGAAGAAGAAGAACGCGAAGCGGCGCCATTATTAAACAATAATCGATACATGTTATCGGCACGCAATTAATCAAAAAACGATTAACAGAACAAATTTTCGTTTGTCTGTGTGCGTGCGTGTCCGTGTGCGTGTGCGCGCATTTGTTTGTGTGTTTTTTTTTTTTTTCATTTTTTGTGCATGTGTGCGCGACGCAGCGACGCTGACGCCGCCAAAAAGTGGGTCGAGTTGCGCGCGTAAATTTGGGTCGCAGCAGCCAACGTCGCAGTCGCCGTCGCAGTCGCAGTGCATTCCATTCGACTTCCAGTTGAACTACTACTACATAGCCTCCCCCCCACCCGCAACCGTTAACATGTCGCTGCAAACGAAACGGCAACATTGCTACCTTTGCGATCTGCCCCGCATGCCCTGGGCCATGATCAATGACTTCTCGGAGGCGGTTTGCCGCGGCTGCGTCAACTACGAGGGCGCCGACCGCATCGAAGTCGTCCTAGACGCCGCACGTCAACTGAAACGCTTGCATCCGAGCAGCAAGCGCGCCCACGAGAACGGCGAAGTCGTCGTCCTCCAACAGCAGCAGCAGCAACAGCAGCAGCAGAGCCTGCAGCAGCTGAGCGGGCCGCAGCATCGCGGCGCGCCCAGCACATCGGCAGCGGGCGGTCCCGGCCCGTTATCGCTATCGCATCATCATGCGGTCGCGGCCGCTTATCAAATGCCACGCATTGGACCACCGCCGCCGCCGCCGCCGCAGCAGCAGCAGCAGCAGAGCGGCGGCGTTATGGATTTTCCCGTTAAATTGGAATCGGCACCGGATGTGCGACCGGTACGCATCTCCCATATGACGCCCCACCATATGCCGCCCACGGCCGGACAGCGTGCCGGACCCGGACCCGGTCCCGTTACACAACAGCCACCTGGCGGCGGGGGCGGCTCAGCAATGCTGCCCGCACTCTCCGTCAATCTGAAGCGTCCGCCCTCCGAGGATGTGGACATCGAGAGCGCACAGCAGCCGCACGGTCCGCCCCATGTCGGCGTCGGCGTCTGCGTCAGCGTTGCCGAACTTGCCGCCGGCAGCAGCAGCGGCGTCGGCCCATCCAGCGTGAAGCGCAGCGCACTCGATGATCCCAACGGCGTCCGGCCGCCCCTCACCCGCGGCGAATCGCTGCCCGCGGTCAGCTACGTGCCCGAGCGTCAGCTCAACTTGCGGGACAAACAGCAGCCCGTGCGGGCGCCCAGTTTCGATGCGTCGACCTTCAAGGCGGCCGGTGAGTTTGCAAATTTTATGTTGTCTCAGCTTGTTAACAGGCACCGACTACGCAATACCCTGTATACACAGAGAGAGAGAGAGAGAGAGAGAGAGAGGTACAATGTTGTATTTTGCTAAACAATTGGTACTTTTTGAACAAATACCATTATCCCACAAATGTACCTATTCTCGAGTACCTTATTAGTGCAATGGTACATTATATATATTGGTACAATATGTGCATAGTTTAGTTTTCCATAACTATTTATAGGTGCCTCAACTGATATGCAAATGTACCTCTTTAAATATCTTAAAGTACCTACTTCACTATCACTAGGCAAAAGAACGCAAGGCATTTATTTAATTTAAAAGACAGACACTCAAATCTGAAAATAAATATGTACCTATTTTAGGTACCCATTCTACATAAATATTAGGTACTTTTTCAAGGCAACAATTTACCATTTCATATTCGATTTTATGGTACAATCTTTCTCCATTTTGAGACTGTTGACCCATTTGTACCCTTCCCATGGTACACTGGAACTATTTGTACCTTAGGCTTAAAAAAAAAGGGAAATTAAACAATTTATTTATGGTTTTCAAAAGAATTAAATATTTAATTTTATAAAAACAAACAGTATATATTTAATATACAGGCACACATTTCGCTTTAGACGAGCACTGTTACTGTAAGCGTAACAGAGCTAACGGTGACATTTACAGTAACATAAACGCTGTATTGAGTCTGTTAATGAACGAACCAGTTTTATTTATTTTGCCTCATTTTTGAATATGAATTTAAATGTTAACATCAGAAAGAGAAAGATGGAGAGCAAGCGAGAAAAGTCGAGAAGCCGTAAAAATAAACAGACAGCAAGCATTAGGAAAGTTTCACTCCTTAAATATGCATATTCAACTTTTTGTTATAAATATTTGGCATATTTTTTCTCATTTTCTGTATTCCAGAAACCAAAGCGATTGTAATTCCGTTAGAAACCTTACATTATGTTATTTAACATATTAGCTAAAATCTGATTGGTTTTATGTTAACATTTTTGACAAGTTTCCAATGGGAACCGCAACATGCAAAATGTTCGGTTCCGTGCATATGCATGTGTGCATGTGTAGGTGTGTATGTGTGCGTGCGTTTGTGTATGTGTGTGTATGCGCAGTTGGAAGATAACAGTCGCTGCAAACTGGCACAAATCCCAAGCAGAATGAACGAGCGTGATTGTCGCTTATCAGAGCAACAGAGAGAGGGAGAGTCAGATGGTGTGGAGTGGGAGAGTGCGCACGTAAGGGAGTGCTGGTGGGGGGGGGGGGCACAGGAAGAGATAGTAGATAGGAAGACATGAGTTGTGCTATTGTCGCTTATCAGTCGAGCACCGACTATTCTCTGATAAGCGGCAGCAACGTCGGCGGCGCTGGCAGCAGCGTCGCCTCGCCAACAGCGATTAGATAACGGCACAGGCGGCCACATATTCTTATCACCAATGCGCTTATCGGGCAGAGCCGAAGTCTCAGAGCTGCTGCTGCTAATGCTGCTGCTGTTGGCGCTGCAGCAGCAGCAGCAGCTGCAGTTGGTGGTTGCCTTGACGCAGGTTTTTGGAACGCATGAGCTCTTCCAGGCTCTGGGCCACAACGAAAATGCGTGTGTGTGTGTGTGTGTGCGTGCATGTAAAAAGCACGCGCACAAACATGTGCCCCAACATGAAGCGTGGAAGGAGTCGAGCGCCGTGACAGACCAAGCGGAAGATAGAAAAGGAGTGGGAGAGAGAGAGAGAGAGAGAGAGATAGATGGAGAGAGCGCCTTGTCGAAATTGCATTTATCTAACAAATTGTTGTTGTCTTTTTTCGGGCGCACCGAACTGTCACGTACACAAACACGCTTACACACACACACACACATGCATGAGCGCTCACGCCTACACATAGGCGCACGCATTTTGCAAAATGACTTGTACGACGGCGAGGCAACCCTCGTTGACACGGCGGCACCTTTTGCTGCTGCCAACCCTTGCCATAAAAAGGCATTTGCCTGTCATGCGCAGAGCCAAAAAGCTGAAATACATAACACGCATTCACACACGCACACACACACACACAGTGTCACACTCACGCACACAAGGCACGCGGCGGCTACACGTAACCCGAAAGGACGGCCCGCGACCCGCAAAAATGTAATAAAAACAGACGTGCAAAAAGTCAACGCCGCAGATGCTGCTGCTGCTGCTGCTGCTGCTGTTGGGCTAGCTGTAACTGTGTCTCTCTCTCGCTCTCCAAAGCGGCCGGTGCTGTTGCTGTAACTGTGCCTCTCTCGCTCTGCTATTGCTGGCTGGGTTAAACGGGTTTTTTTTTGCTTTACTGAGTTCTGCTTTTGTGGGATTTTTTTTTTTTTTTTAGTTGTATTCTTTACGTTTTATATTTATGCTTGAGTGTGTGTGTGTGTATGTGTGTGCGCGCGCGCAAAACGTCATTAAACTTGTTTTGGTTTTTATTTCTTCTTCTTTGCTGTTTTACGCTATGCGATAACAAGTTGCACACACACACACACACACACAGATACGCGCGCATACGCAGAACAGCAAACAGTGTAGATAAATTTTTAGTTAGTATACAGAATGGACTGCAACAGCAGCTTTGTATTGTATATATACATATGTGTATGTATATATACATATATATTCATAATATGTACATTATTTATGTATGTATGCGTGCGTATACATATGCCTGAATACTCACCGAATAGAAATGAAAAACAAAATAAAGAGAATTTTCGCGCATGCCGATGCCGATGCCGTCATCTGCTGTTCCACAGTGGGCCCAAGCATGTTTTCATTGATGATCGCTGCACTTGAACTAAATCTTTACTTAACATGCTGTTAAATGTTATTAAAATTGCGATGCAAAACTGCATGAAGCATAATTTAATCATGAGTTATTTGACAATCAGCCATTTGTTTGATTTTTGACGCAGCGCAAATCAGTTTGGCAACAATGTGCGTGATTTGTTTGAATGTCTTCGTTGTTGTTGCTGTTTCTCTTCTTCTTGTCGTTGTTGTTGTTGTTCATACTGTTCTTTTACGCTTTAGTTGGCTGGTCCGTTAATTGCCTATTATGTGTATTTACGTTACTTTTGTGCTTTGTATGTATTTGTGTTTCATTACCAAAATCCAAATCTTCGCACATGTGTGTGTGTGTGCGTGTGTGTATACTAAAAATATAACAAACAGTTTGGTGTACATACACAATAACGCTGCATACACAATTTGTGCACATACATGCGTACATTTGTATGTATGTATGTATTCATCAACAGCTTTAGCGTCTTTTACAACTAAACACATAATGCATACATGCATATATATATACACATTCTGTGTGTGTGTGTGTGTGTGTGCTCATACAACGTGCGAGCCTGCTTCCAGCACCATTCCCGCCCCACCGCCCGCCCACTTGTGCAACTCTTTCTCTCTCTCGCTCTCCTACTGTACGCCTCACTGTCTCGTCGTCTTCATTCAGCGCTCGTCGCATGCGTTTTTGTTGCTGCAGCGCAGCTTGCACTG